TAATCTTGGGATAAGACTAAAGGGTTGGTACTGAAATTAAATCAGCTCAGCTCTGAGAAACCTAATAACCAGGTACTTATTAAGCAGATGCTTCTTCCTATTGTTTCTTCTCATTCCTTCTACCCCCTGCTTCCCAATGTTTGGATTGACAAGCCATGGAAATTGATGCCATAATACCTACACCCACAACATGTCCATTCATTACAGTAGCCTGGAGGTTGGCTATGGTCAACTGGTTCTTTCCCCATACGATGGCTGGCAAATTCTCACTTCCTTTTTCTTTTCCCTCTGCAATCCAGTCACTGCCTTCTGAAGTGAAAATTCTTTGTCCTGACTACCTCTCCCCATAACTTTATCTATATCCAACCCAACCCTGCCCTGCATGGTCTATATATTCCTCTACCTTCCCTTTCCATTGCATCCTCTTTTCTTCCTATAATTTACTCATTCTAAACCTAGTCTTCATTCTCTGAATGACCTTAAGTCTTTCCATCCCTCTGTGCTCTCCCAAAATATCACCCTTTCCCTGGCCTCAATTTCTTCTCTTCATTGTCTTGATACTAGAGGTGGCTAATTCAACTATATCCCATTCCCCACCACCATTAAACCTATTGCCAGTCCCTCAAGCCTGGATCACCTCCTTGACCATCTTCTCTGTTCCTACTCCTGTGCTGCTAGACACTGCTGAAGAAGTCACACAACCATTAAGACTGTATCCACAATGAACAGATATTATCCAAAAGCAACAGAACACTCAATGCTACCTAGAAATCCTTTTATTCTTTATTAATTGATTTTCTATTATACTGCTTGAATTGGCTACTCCAAATTTTCTCAGAGCACAAGTCTGCTATGATTATCCCACATGCTTCTGTCTCTCAGCAGATAACCTTGACTACTACTTTGCTGAGAAAATTGAAGCCATCCACTGGGAGATCTTTATATTCTTCACTCCACATGTGAAAACTCATCCACGTTTTCTCATGTCCACACTACCTTTTCTCCAGTCTTCATGGAAGTGGCCCTTCTTCTTGCCATTGCTAACCCCCTCTATCTGTGCCCTTGAATATATCCTCTTCATCAGCTTGCTCTAGTAATAACAACCTTTTCTCTCTAAACATTTACTTCTCCCTTTCCATGATTTTTTTTGAGACTAGCAAACATGCCAAGGTCTCCCATGTCCTTAAAAGACTTCTTAGCAAGGGTTAAGGTCATCAAAGGCATCTTCTTCCCTTACAACCTCCTTACTTATCCTGAGCACCAACACTATTAGCCTTTGTTATTTCACCCCTTCCAAACTAAAGGATCTTTAGTTCTCTTTTAGTTTCTTCTTTGTGGAGAAAACAGAAGCAAATTAGGAATTGAGCATCTCTTATTTCCTTTTCTTATTCACTATCATTTTTTGATCTGCCCAGAGCAGTGGTCCTATACTTTCTTGGATCCTCCTATTTTTGACCAATGCAGTTTTAAAAAATTTTTTTTGTCGTCCTTGGAATGTCTTTCCAACTTCAGGTGTTTTTGCACTTTAGCATCCCTAATAGTCTTCTTATATAACCCATGCCATACTTTTATATACAACCTCCATTTCCTGCCCTCGTTTTCATCTTCTGAGCATGTCACATCAGTCTCTTTAGTCAACTTCTTCCCCTTTTTTCTCACTAATAGAAATATTTCTCTTTGTGCTTTTAGAGTTTCATTCTTAAAATCCCTTCTGAGATGACCTTCCCTATAGAATTTTAGTCCCTGTGATCTGACCTTTACTTCCTCAAATCCTTTGAAATCTGCTCCCCCCAAATCTAAAATGCACATAAGAGTGTTACCAGCTTTTCTCTCCTCTATCACAAATTCTAAGGCAGAGTAGTCCTTTTCACAAGGTTTCAATCACTTCCACCTTCACAACCAATCCTTCCTTGTTGGCCCAAATCAGATCTAGAACAGGCATTCCTCTCATTGGTTCTTGCACCTTTCCAATGATTGCATTATCGTTATGTTTAGCCAATAAATCAGCAGTTGTTCTATTTGGGGGGGGGGGGAAGGAAAGGAAAGGAGGAGAGGAGAAGAGAGGAGATATTTACATATTCTGTTCCAGAGGTAAGAGAGCCATATATTCCAGCCATTGGTCCTATCCTACCAAGTCTCAATGATAACTATGATGTCAAATTTGCCTCCTTGGATTAGGCTTACCTGAAGCACCTAGATTTTTGCCTATACTTTATATATATTATACTTTACTATATATATACATATATATTATACTTTATTTTACATCTATGTATAGACAGAGACATATATTGACATATCCCCTGCAAGCTCCTTATAAGAAGGAACTATGCCATGTTTTGTTCTGTATCTCCAGTATCAAGCACAGTGCCTTGCCCATTATGTGTGCTAATAAATGTGTTCTGAATCAAACTGAGTCTAAGGGAAATATCCAAACCTTGGCTGATAGGTGGGAATGGCAGAGAGGAGACTTTGGGTCTTGAAAGTCATGAAAATGAAACACAAGCTGTGGCAGGTGGGACCAATCTGGGAAGTCTTTAAGGATGGGCCCAAAAATAGATTGTGTCTATCATCAGGGGATTAGAACAGCTACATGCAGAGAGGCTCATCCTCAGAAGGTTTACCTCCAGTTTGATTTTTTTTAACAACAAACATTAAAGCATAGATCAGGTTAGAGTCTATGTCTGGGGAGACAGGACCCACACCAAGGAAATCAGATATCTTGAAATAAGTAGATTCAAAACAAATCACAATAAATTTATGTCCAGTGCAAATCAAATTTACAGACGTGGGAAAGGAGACAGAATTAAGGAAACTACTATGTGCCAAAAACCATGATAAGCAATTTACCAATATTCTGTTATTTAATCCTCACAACAACCCCAGGAGAGGTGGGTGCTATTATTATCCCCATTTTATAGATGAGAAAACTGAGGCAAACAAAGACTAAATGACTTGCCCAAGGTCACACAAGCTAGTTAAGCATCTGATACTACATTTGAACTCAGGTCTTCCTGACTCCAGGCCCAATGCTCTCCCTACTGTGCCAGCTAGCTGGCTGGTGGCAACTAGCAGGATGAAACAGAAAGGACACTGGGATTGGATTCAGGAGATGTAGGTTCCAACTAGTCTCAGTTCTATCACTAAGTGGGTTATCTTGGGCAAGTTATTTCCCTTCTCCAGGCCTCAGTTTTCTCACCTTCAAAATAAGAGGGTTTGCCTACATCAGGGATTTTTAACCTTTTTTTGGTGTCATGGACCCCTTCTCAGAATAATATTTTCAAATGCATAATATTACAAAAGAGAGCAATTATATTGAAACAAAGTTGAGTAATAGTTTCCCATTCTTAATAGATTCCCTGAATCTATCCATGGCGAGAGAAGGCAGAGGTGAATTCCAGATTAAGAACCTCTGGACTAAATGATAGCACTTAGGATCTATGACATTCTATGATATCAAAATTTACTGCAGCACCATATGATAATTGGTGTTTATCATACTGTTCCTAAAGGTCCCTTTTACATAATCAAAGATTAAATATGACGAGTACAGTTTTTGTGTTCAGTTTATTTTACTGGATCCTAATTCTATGTATTCTTACTCTATGTCCTTGGATTCTGACAAAGGCCCCATTTTGATGAAGCCTAATGTCCATTCCCCATACCAGAGATGAAGGGTCAATTCTCACTCAAGATACTGAGTCCCTACTTTCCTTCTAGCCAGCTTTGCCCAAACTGCTAAGGCAATTTATTCCCACCTAATTGATAGCTGTTCAATGTGACTATCCCACATCTCCCTAGACTGCTACAGAAATTCTGTTCTTGTTTTTTCTATGTCATTGCTGGGGTGGAGGTTCCCTTATTGTTTTCAGAAGGAAAAGGGTTCTGAGCCTATCTCTCCCCAAGCTGCTCTGGAGCTAGCAACACTGCTTTTTACATGATATAATCTGAGGCAGCCCTGGTTAGGTGAACTAGAAGCCCAGAGGAAGTGAGGATTTAATAAAAGACACCATTCTTGCTTTGGAAGTCAAAAAGCAAGGAGCTATTTCTGTTTCCAAGATTTTGATTTTTTTTCCTTTTGCATCTGGATCCTGTGCCAAATTTTGGCATAAGGATAACTTGATCAGGAACACACCTCTTAAAGATAAAACTTTTTAAACCGTTTCTTCCATGTACAAACTAACCCAATGGTCACATCTGGGGGATCACACCTTCTAAGATGGAAGACCACTTTTCTGATTTATATGGTATCAGACAGAATACTTTACATACTTCTTAAAGGCAAGAATGGAAAAAGCATGGTATAAAAGAGAATTGTTATTGTTTGGTCGTGTCTGACTCTTCATGACCCCATGGATCATAGCACGTCAATACTGTCCATAGGATTTTCTTAGCAAAGTGGTTTGCCATTTCCTTCTCCAGTGGATTAAGGCAAACAGAGGTTAAGTGACTTGCCCAGGATCACAAAGCTCGTAAGTGTCTAAGGCTGGATTTGAACTCAGATCTTCCTGATTCCAGAGCTTGAGCCATCTAGCTGCCTCCTTATCTTCTGTAAGAATGGAAAAAAGTATGGTATAAAAGAGAATGATGACCTTTAATTCAGAAGACTCGATGGCTTCAACTGTAGCTCAGTCACTGGCTAAATTTCTGACCCAGGGCAAGACCCCTTCACCTCTATGGGCCTAAGTTTTCTCATTTATAAAATGAATAGATTGGATTAGATTTCTAAGTTTTGTCCAGCTCTATCATTCTACATTCTAATGTTCCATGTTCTAAGATTTCTTCTAGCACCCATATGCTATCCTTCTAGCTCTAACATTCTGTATACTAAGGCCCCTTTCAACCCTAAAATTCTATGATTCTCTATGCCACGTTGTGTTCCTACACACAATAAAACTCCTAAAATATTTTCAAAAGAAAGCACAAATAGAAAACAGTTAAAATCATTCCTAGAGGAAGAAAACTTTAATTGTGACAAGAGGTACTAAAGGATGACTTACGTGTGTCCACAGTCTCTTGAATCGGGATGAAGCCTACAGGTAGTGTGTCTTTTATGTCGATGAGCTTCATATCCACCAGTACATTCCCTAAATGGCTCTTCAGAAAGAAAAGAGAGGGGAAAAAGCAGACTATTAGCCTGAGTGCCTAGACCATCCTCTTTCAAATTTTAGCTTCATGATGCATGCTTTACACAATGAGGCCTGGAGGACTAAAGTACTGGATTAGGAGTCTAACAAACTAGGCTTGAGTACTGGATATAACGGCAATAATAATAATAGTTCAAATTTCTTTAGTGCTTTGACCTTTATAAAAACAATTTACACTTTCCTTTACAGTATCCCCATGAGGTAGGGAAGGGAAGTCTTATTATCCCTATTTTACAGATGAGGAACCTGAGACACAAAGTAAAGTGATTTGCCTATAGTCACTGAGCTAGGAAGCAACTGAGTCATTACTCAAAAGCTAAGTATGCTAACCCAAAGTTCTTTCTACCACATAACATTGCCACTGGCAAGTTTCCTCACCTATAAAATAAAGGTAAGGGATGAGGAGAATCTCTAAGGTCCCTTTGAACTATGGCATTCTATGTTCTAACATTCTGGCTTCTCAGGTTCCTTCCAGCTTGAATATTTTATATTTTCATGACTAATGCCAGCTTCAAGACAGAAAGTTAATTACAGCAGGTGGCCATTTTAACAGTCTGAAACAGCTAGACACGGGCTGCGTATGGTTCTCTGGCAAGAGTTTCAGCTATAGCATCTTTTAAGACACCCAGACCTACTCCTGGTCACCCACAGAATCCGTTTGGTGAAGGGCGAAGCCAAGCTTTCCAACAATCTGATGTTCCACCCAGTAGAGGGCAGCTGTGCACACATAGCCCCAGAGTTCTGACAGCTTGGCTACATGCTCCTGACCATCTGCATTAGGCACATGTATATTTTAGAAAGGGCAAATTCCTGTGGCAGTCACTGTTTGAGCACATGCACATTTGAACATAATGCAGAATCAATTACCAGGCTAAAATGTCACTGCTCCAAAATCAATCTAAAAGACAACATAAACGCAAGGCACATTTGCACAATTTTTTTAATTATGGTATAATTTTTGCAAAATCCCATGTATCATATACAGAGTGAAGCTATCTTTGTTTGGCTATTTCACGTCCTCCAAATTATACACTCAAAAATAGTCTTTTCTATATTTATATTTGAGTTCAGAGTCTATTAAAAAGGCAGTATTAGAGAGTGGAAGGAGTGTTAGATTTGGAGTCAAAGTCGGTCAACGTGCATTTACTATAGTTGGGGCTTAATAACTGCTTGTTGACATACTATTAGCTAGGAATCGTACTAAGCACTGGGGATAGAAAGAAAGGCCAAAACACAGTTCCCACCTTCCAGGAACTCACATTCTAATGTGGAAGAAAATATGAAAACAACTATGTACATACAAGATATAAAAGCATACGAGTTTGAAGCCTGGCTCCCGAATTCCTACTTGTCTCTAAGGCCCCTTTGAACTACGACATCCTATGTTTTCACACACTGTGTTCTCAGGTTCCTTCCAGTTTCCATGACTAATATATACTTCATATACCTGAATTATATAAACCTGGGCCTCAGGTTCTCTTTCTGTAAAATAAGTTGAACTATTACAGAATCACAGACTTAAGAGCCGGGAAAGATCTCAATGGCCATGCAGTCCAACCATCCCCAAACAAAAGCTCCGAGGCAATTAGGTGGCTCAGTGGATACAGCACCAGCCCTAGAGTCAGGAGGACCTGAGTTCAAATCCAGCCTCAGACACATAACACTTACTAGCTGTATGACTCTGGGCAAGTCACTTAACCCCAATTGCCTCACAAAAAAGCAAAACAAAACAAGAGTCCCCTCAGACACATGGAAATGATCATCCAGACTCTGCTTGAAGTTCTCCAGTGAGGAAGAATCCCATACCTATCATGACAGTCCATTCCACCTTTGTAAAGCTCTCGTCATTACAAAGGTTTTCCTTACATCAAGCCCAATTTGCCTAGGCAAATGATGTAATAATATAATTAATGACAGCACTACCTTAGTAGGTATGGGGTTCTCCAACTCCCAGTTTTGTCCTCTTCAGCCAAACAGAAAAAGTGTAATCCTTGCAATGATAGCCCTACAAATACTTGAAGACATCAATCATGTCTTCTCTAAAGGCTAACTACTCCCAATCCCTTCAACTGATCCTCACATGGAATGAGCTTGAGGCCCTTACTTACTTACCCTGCTTGCCCTCCATCTTATCAATATCCTTCCTAAAATGTGGTGAATTGAATGCAGTATTCAAAGCATAAATCTGATCAGAAAAAAATAGTCCCTAAGGTCTCTTCCAACTTATAAATCCTATGATCCTATGTTTCTTCCACTGTAAAATGAGGAAGTTGGAGTGGATATTTTTATGGTCCCTTCCACTTCAATTTTCCTATGAATACCATAAGTTTGGGCCCAGGAACAGATTGTTATCCAAGAACCATGATCTCTTAAGCTGTATGAAAAGCTTCATCACTAAAAGGCTGGTTACCAGGTAAGGTTATTTTTGACCACAATAACTCATGAAACTATCTAAAAAGAGCTAGAAAAGGCTGAAATCTTCATTTATGGAGGGAGTACCATTGTTGTTGTTCGGTGGTATCCAACTCTTCATGACCCTATTTAGAGTTTTCTTAGCAAAGATATTGTAGTGGTTTGCCATTTCCTTTTTCAGCTCATTTTAAAGATGAGGAAACTGAGGCAAACAGGATTAAGTGACTCACCCAGGTCACAGAGATAGTAAATGTCTGAGGCTGGATTTGAACTCAGGAAGATGAGTCTTCCTGCCTCTATCCACTGCACCACCTAGCTGCCCCACCTACACCATTAGAACCTCATATACTCAACATATAAATAGAATGGATAAGTAATAAGATCACACTGTGTGTGTGTGTGTGTGTGTGTGTGTGTGTGTGTAGTACTTTACATATTACCATAGTGTTTTCATCAAAACAAAACAGTCCTCTTATATGGGTAGTACTCCTTAAAGCATTCTCGGTTTCATCAATGTACCACACAACCCCTCTGTGCCTTAGAGTATCTTACTCATTGTGAATTGTTATGACCAGAAGAAAAAAATTTAATCACCTTTGGGCCAACCTTGAGGTAATGAGGAGGGAGGGAGTATAAGGATTATTATCATCATTTTACAGATGAGGAAACTAAGATTGAAAAGAAGAAAGCATAGAAGACAGCATGGTTTGGTAAAAACAATACTGAGATAGTAGTCAGGAAACCTGGGTTTTATTCTTGGTTCTATGGCTTCTCTCTGAATCTCACTTTCCATCTCTGAAATGCCACTGCTATTGCTACTACAAAAGTCTACAAATTACTTTCCTTAAAAACATTCTATGAGGTAGGTAGTGCAAGTACCATCATGACCATTTTACAGATGAGGCTTGAACAGGTAGTGGCTTCCTCAAGGTCACATAGTAAAGTAGCATGAACCAGGAGTAGAATCTAGGTTTTCTGACTCCATATCTGGTAGTGTTTTCATTTTGCCAAGGTGAGTGTTGGACAAGACGACCTACAAACTCAACTATTCTGTAAATCTATTAGCCTGTAAGTGGCTTTAGAGCAGGCACTATATCCAATCTGTCTCAGTACCCCCAGCACAAAGTACTCATTGAGACTAGGCTCTTTCAATTAGTAAGCCCACAGATAGGATTTAATCCCAGGCCTTCTGACTCCCAATTCAAGGGCTGTTCTATGGATTCTACAATGCCAAGTATCACTAAACAAGGTACACATCTTTTTTCAAAGATACATTATTCTACAGAGAAGCATGAGAAGACTAACATGAAGTGAAATAAGCAGAACTAGGAAAAAACACACATATACATATACACACACACACATATATATGCATATATATATACACACATATACATATACACACATACACACAATGTTTACAACAATGTAAATGTAAAGGAAAAAAATCTGAAACTAAATCTTGCATAAATAAATGAGAAAATGCCTCCCTTCCTTCTTGACCAAGGTAGAGGACCATAGACGCAGAACACTGCATATACTATTAGACTTGGATGAAGTAAAGATTAGTTTTGCTGAACTGCCTTTTCCTCTTTTCTCTTAATTAATTTCTCTTAATCTTAATTCTCTTAATTGTCTTTGTTATTAAGGGACAATTATGTCTTAAACAAGTTGGTACTCACCAGCAATCTTTGAAGTCTGGAACTGAGTGTTAAGCACAGTCATACCTCAAAATACTTAGCCACTTTGGATCTTTCATGAAATTGTCACAGTGTAATTTCCAATTTGTTTTCTTTTCTTTCTCCTATTATATAACCAGATAAAGCTAGTTTCACATTGTATAATATTATCCTATCTACATCACATCATAAAAGCCCTCCAATCCAGGGATGGGAAACCCCTACCTTCTCTGAGTAAATACATGATTATTCGGCTAATCACTGTGCCATCAACACCAAGCAATGGCTGGTATATTTCTTTACTAATTAAAAGGAGAAATAAATATTTCTCTCTACACATTGGTATGTTTGAGGATACTCAACATACCTTTGCACCTATGAAATGAGAGAAAAATTCAGGCCTGCTGAGAATGCAACTTAACAGTTGATCCTGCCAAGCAGGGAGTCCTGACACTTGGTACACTCTCTGGCTAGGACAGCCACTCAAAGTCAGGAGTTTAAACTGGATTTGCTCTGACAAGTAAATCAAAGTATATTCACTCAAAATGTTAGGAGCCTGGCTTATAGGAACATAAGATTCACAACTAGAATGAACATAAGAAACTATCCAGTCCAACTACATCACTTAAGAAAAAAGGAAACTGAGGCCCAGAGAAGTAACATGATTTGTCTCAGGTAACATAAGAAATAAAAAGCCGAGCTGGAATTGTGGATCTTCAAATCTTCTGATTCCCACTCCGCTCTCCTTACTATCACTTGTACTGTGACTCCTCACGATTCCCTTTTCTATAGCACTTTAAGCTTTACAAAGAGAGCTTTCCCCACTCCAACCCTCTGAAAGGATAATATAAGTTTCATT